GAGGTGAGAAATTAAATTTATAGTTTTTTTTTTTTTTTGAAATATACAATCTCTAATGGGATGTTTAATGAATGGCTAATTCACTCTGATAGGTACATCCACCGGACTCTCCTTGCTTATAATGTCATTGAAGAAAGCTTGCAAGTACTGATCCTCCCAACGATTTCAAACCAACAAATACCGAGAAGCTCTGCACCCTCAGGAAACCTGATTGTAATTAAGCATGAATTATAGACATTAATCTTCACATATTTATTCATTTTTAGTTCGAGAAGACACTTAAAAACAATCAACTACATGCTTGAATTCTTTTGGTTGGGTGTGAGTGAAACTGTGTCATGCATCCCTTTTGTCTGCATTTTCTGTGTGGTGTTTGCATGTGTGTGTGTGTGAGCTGGAATCTCGTATGGAGTTCAGAGAGAGAGAGAAACCTGGAATCTTGTATGGAGTTCCAACTCCAATAACGAGGAGTATCACCCCATGTAATTGCGAGGTCCCTAGCAGCTAGCAAGTAACATTTCTTCCCACTCCTTTTGTGCAGTGAAAAGCTGTATGCAATACAGGTTATACAATTAAACACTCAACTGGTTCTGAAAATGTTGGCCAAAAAAATACTAGTACTGAAAAAGAATAGTTTGGAAAAGATTACTGATCAAACTTCAAAATATCAACAAGGGACCAAACGAACACATAAACTTACCATAGAAATGACATAACCATCATTAATGATTATTACATCACCAACAAGAACATAATCCTCTAGCAAGCATATTCCAAAAAAAAGAAGCATTGAATACCCAGGCAACACATCCATAAGTTTTGTAAATTATACCAATAAAAATCCTTATAGTTAACTGCTTCATATAGACATGAATTCAGGACCATCAACACAAAAGAAAATTACACCAAGTCATGGCCTCTTAACAGGCCATATATAGCTACACACACAAAATAAACGTCAAAAGTCCTCAAGAAGTTTGTGAAAAAAAAATGTTAAAAGTTCTTAGGAAAAATCATTCACAGCAAACAAAAAGCGCGTAGCTCAATTAGCTACACACAGCAATTGATCAGAAAAGGAAGGCATTATCAGAATTTGGCTTTTTTAAGCTTATGATTCATTCTCAGTCCAAACAATGAAATCTTACAATATGCATATATTGAGCGAATGCATATCGAGTCAAGTACCTTGCTGAGTGAGAAACTGAAAAAGAGCCAATGATTAACACTACCTAAGATTGTAAGATTTAGGACCGTAAGATTTTATTAAGAAAACATGTACTCCCTCTTTTCTAGTCTGATTTAGTTATTCTAGTTTGAATTTTGCATAAAGTTTGGCTGTATGTAAATCAGAAAAGTGATGTGTAGTCTGTCCTCATACTGTCATTCTGTAAAACTGTAACCAAGGGGCGGAATGCACATCTTATAACTACTAATGAGGGACAGGTCCTTATATTGGGAGTCCCCTTACATCAATGGTACAGTTAGCCCAAATTGTTCCCAAATCCTTCTAAACATAAAATCGAAAAACCCTATTTTGGGACGGATGGAGTAGTTAAATTTTTTTTTCTATGGATAATTTTTATTTAGTGTTTTTAATTAAATTAATTTTTTTTTCAATTATGATTTGTTTGTCATATAAAATTATCAAATTAATTTGTGGTATAAAATTGATGAGTTAGGAGAACTAAAATGAACCAAAGGAGTGTCCAGCCCGTGGTGAGCCAGTGGCCACCCGTTTGAATACGTGGGTTAGAATAGTATATCCTGAGTTCTAAACCTAGCACTTACTTTCCCTCCCCAAGCCAATTCCTCAATATTCCAAAAAAAAAAAAGAACCAAAGGAGTAAATCATTTTCCACTGAACACAACATGTCAAACCATAAGATTATATGGGAACACGGAAACGAAAAGATCAAGAAGGCAGGTAGGAGTCGGGATATATATATTTACCTTTTTGCCATCTTCAATGAGTACAGGATGATCGCAGAGGCTGAGATAAAGGTCCTTCAAGGAAGAAGTGGATCGCGATGCGGGAACCAAATTCTGGTAGTCGGACGGTAGGAACTTAACCCAAACGGCGTCGGAACTGACGACAGAGTTGAAAAAGGGGGAAACTACTGACCATCTACAGGCATCGAGAGGACTGGTGAGGGAGATGATGGCGGCGAGGCAATCGGCGGGAAGAGCGCGGCAATCCCGC